GTGAGAGCCATGACAAGAACAGATATATGCACACCCATGTTCATTGCAGCACTATTTACAATAGCCAAAAGATGGAAACAACCTAGGTGTCCATCAGCTGAAGAATAGATAAACAAACTATGGTACATACACACAATGGAATACTGTGCAACCCCAAAGAATAATGTAAAATCTGCAAAACACTGCATAACATGGATGAACATGGAGGACATTATGCTGAGTGAAATAAGTCAATCACAGAAGGACAAATATTATATTAGTCCATTATTGTAAAAAGTCAAGGAAAGGTTTACATATGGGAGGAAATTTTCTTTGTTGGTTACCATGGGTGGAAGAGTAGGGTAGGGAACACTGTTAGATAGGTAGAGACAAGTATTGATTTGGGTGAAGAGAAGGGCTATGTACCAAATGTGAGTGATCAACATGGTGGCATTGAGGAAAAGGAAGACAGAGAGAGGTACATGGGTGGTGCAGACAACAAAGATGAACCCTTTTGCACATATAGTACTGCGTTGTCAGTGAAGGCAAACATGGATATATGGGTAGATAGATGGGTGGACAGGCTGAATGATTGGATAGTCTATGCAAGGGGGAGTGTGCCCAAACCATGTATAGGGTTGGCAGACAATGTTTCTACAAGTGTATTGCTATGTTCTGTAAGAATTCCCTGGTGTATAGTAGAGCTGACAAAGGACAAGGCTGTAGTCACTTCTTGGGCACAGCCAGCTACCCAGAGGGAGTGAGTAGTTGGATCTGTGGGCTTGGGACCATAGTCACAGGGGACATCAAACTCAATTGGCATAACATACTACACAAAACATTGTTCCACCTTCTACTTTGGTGAGTAGCGACTGGAATCTTAAAAGCTTGCATGCAGCCATCTAGATGCAACGATGGGTCTCTCCTCATCCGGAGCAAAGAAGAATGAAGAAAATCAAAGATTCATGTAAACAATTAGTCCAAGCAACTGGTACACCATGTGATCCTCAGCCTATACAACTATGAGAGCAGAAGAACCAGATGGTGCCTGGCTACCACTGTCATCCACTCGGAGGGGGATCTATGTAGGAGATCCTGGATAGAGATGGGGAACAATGTGGAACAAAACTCAAAATCATTTTTTGGGAGAAAAAAAAAAAGGACCAGGTTTGCTTGTCTGATAGAGCCTGGTGGAACCCCTGAGACTATGGCGCCTAGCTGCCCTTCAGGTCTGGAACTGAAACCACACCTGTGGCTTCCAGCCAAACAAAAGACAGGCATATGAGGTGAACATTTACACTAGGTAGATACACTCATTGGAGAGAACAATCATGGGAGAATAGAAGGGCTGTGTATGCACAGGAAGACAGCTCAGGGGGCAGGAGTACATAGAGGGAAGGACATGGGAAGAGAGCGTTGTGTTACATTGTCGCCAATGTCTTGAGACAGTCTATGTGAACTGCTGTATGGAAAGTGAATTTGCTCGGTAAACTTTCACCCAAATCACAATAAAAAAGAAAAAATAAATAAAAAGAAATCAGATGTTTTATTGCACTGGGCAGATGTGCTGCAAAAGACCTCTCTAAAGTGCTGAAGAGCAACGATGTCTCTTTGAAAACTAGTGTGCACCTAACCCAAGCCATGGTATTTTCAATAGCCTCATATGCATGTGAAAGCTGGACAATGAATAAAAAACACCAAAAAAATAGTTGATGCCTTTGAATTATGGTGTTGGAGAAGAATACTAAAATACCATAGACTGTCATTTGACTGTTAACCAGAAGGCTGGCGGTTCAAATCCACCAGCCACTCCTTGGAATGAAGACTTCTGTAGAGAAAACACCTCAGAAACCCAAGGAGGGATTGCTATGAGTCAGGCTGAGTCGACAGCAGTCAGGTTTTTTTTGTTTGCTTTTTTTTTTGTCAGAGGAATGAACAGATCTGACCTGAAAGAAGTGGAGCTGGAATGCTCCTTAGAAGCAAGAATG